CTTGAAACTTCGCTATCTTGCGACCTCAAGACATAAGGAAGACGAAATTTCCATCCCTTAATTGTCGTAGTGGGTTTCTCCTTTAAATTTGTTGTTGTGAGGCCATTGTGGGTCTACTTTTTTCTGCTATTTTAATTAAAATTAGGGTTAATTTGAGAGGGGGTTATTTATATCTTATTATTTCCTTTTTTTTTCAAATTTTAGGTTTTGTTTGAGTATGTTGGATATGGTAATCTTTGATTTTTACTTATGGAGTTTTGTACCTTTTCAAAACGACAAGTTTGTAGCTTATTCAAGAACAAGTGGTGAACCTCCTTGACATCTTTACAACGACGTTTCATCATTTGCCTAGCTGTTTTCAGCCAGGATAGTCATCGATGGACACCAAGTCTGTTGTCCAGTAGCAGATTTCACCCTGTGCTCCTTCAAAATACCATTGCCCTTGCATATTTTCGTTTCATCGTTATTTCACAGCCAGCTCCTGCTAAATCGTTTTCTTAAACGTACCATCTAGGAGCCCCAAAGCAATATCATTTATCACTGCATAGAAAAATTCTCAGCCACTCCCTAACTTAGTTGAAGAAGGAAAATGAGATCCATGTCAATAAAAGTATGTCTGATAGAATTTTCAATTTGTGACGAGCTGTAGGATCAAGTTTGGTGTAATGTTGCCCCTATGGATGCATATCATATTTTATTGGGCCAACCGTGATAATATATTAGGGGTATATACTTTATAATGGCCACAAATGAGTCGACAGTGATGAGTAATCAAACATAGATAGAAGTGATCATGCCTCATGCTACATTGCTACAAGCTATGAGAGGGGCGCTAGTGTGTTTGGCCTCAGTGATGCTAGAAGGCAGTGATATAGAAGAACTGATACCTCTGAGGCAATGCATCCCTTATTAGAGGATTTTCGAGATGTTTTGATTGATAGTATCACTCCTAGATTGCTGCCTTACAAGAGATTCAACATGCTATAGACATTATCCTAGTTTTAATGCTCTCCAAACAGCTTATCTATCGGATGCAACCAAATATAAGCTATAAAAGCAGCTTAAGGATCTCATGGTATGAGGACTAGTTCGCAAGAGCACCGATCTATGTATTGTTCCAGCTTTGATTGTTCCCAAAAAGAATGATACACGGTGCATGTGTATAGATAGCAAGGTCGTGAACAAGATCACTATCAAGTACTAATTTCTTATTTCGAGATTAGATGATTTGTTTGATCAGTTACATGGAGTCAATATTTTCTTCAAGATTGATTTTCAAATTGGTTATCACTATATTATGATGAGATCAGAGGATGAGTGAAAGACAACGTTTAAGGCACGAGATAGATTGTATGAGTGGATTGTCATGCCCTTTGGTCTGTCCAATGCACTGAACACTTTCATGTGGCTGATGAATCAGATTATGAGCCTTCATTGGAAAATTTGTATTTATGTACTTTAATGATATTCTAGTGTACATCAGTTTAGAAGAGAAGCACTTATATCATTTGCAATGTTATTGGGTTTCTTCAAACATAATAGCTATATGGTCACCGAAGAAGTATCATTTTCTTACACCACAAGTATGCTTTTTGGGATATATTTTTTCAATTGTTGACATTGAGATGGACCCAACTACTTTTGAAGCTATTATGACTTGGCCAAGACCCCAACCATTTACTCAGGTATGCTAGTTTTATGGTCTGTCTTTTTTTTATAGAAGATTTATTATAAATTTTAGTTCAATCGTGATACATTTCACAAAACTTCTCGAGTCAAATAGATTTTTTTGATTAGATGATGCCAAAATTAGTTTTCATGCTTTGAAGAAATAGGTCACTCAAGCTTTATTTCTAACACTTTCGGATTTCAATCAAGTGTTTGAGGTTGAGTGTGATGCTTCTAGTGTGAGAATTTGTGCTGTTTTAAGTCAAGGATGACACCCTATGGCTTTCTTCAATGAGAAATCAAATGAGTCTAAGAAAAAAGAACTCTATCTATGACAGAGTCTTATGGTATTGTGAGAGTCCCCAATCACTAGAATCATTATCTGCTGGCGAACTAATTTACACTCTATACTGGCCATAAGGCCCTTAGATTTTTGAATAGCTAAAGTAAGCTAAAGGGCAGACACGCCTCACGAGTGGAATTCCTCTCTTTAATTTATTTTGTGCTCAAATTTAAAGATAGAGTGTCAGAATAAAGTAGTTGATGCATTGTGTCGTCGCCACTTATTAATCATTACAATACGGTTTAAAGTAGTTGGTTCTAAAGTGTTAAAGGATTTATATGGAATTGACGAGGACTTTTAGGATATTTGGATCCAGTACAAGTATATGTCATATGAGCAGTATCACAAATATGATGGATACTTGTTCCTTCATAATAGATTGTGTATTTCTCATAGCTCGGTGCATTTTACAAGAATGTTATAATGGGGGATGGCAAAATATTTTGACTGTGACAAGACTCTTTACTTATTAAAAGAGAACTTTTATTAGCCTAGATTGATACGAGTTGTGGATAGGCACATCAGACAATGCAAGGTGTCTCCCTTGGATAAGACTCAAGGATAAAATACAGATCCATACACTCTCCTTCCTTTTTTTGAGGCACCATAGTTGGAAATGAGCATGAGTTTTAGGGTGGGTTCACCCTAGACACAACATAGTAAGGATTCTATCATAGTTGTAGTAGACCGTTTCTCCAAGATGACACATTTTGTTTCTTGCCATAAGATAATGGAAACATCACATACTAAAGACATATACTTAATGGAGGTTGTTCGTCTTCAGGGTATACCCAGGAGCATTGCTTCATATAATAATATGAAATTCCTCAATCACTTTTAGAGGAATTTATAGAGCAAGTTAGGCACAATGCTTCAATTCAGTTTAGCAATACATCCTCAAATAAATGGGCAGGCATAGGTAGTAAACCGTAATTCGAGAAATCTTCTTAGATGCTTTGTAGGAAAGAACATCAGACATTGGGATTTGATTCTTCCTCATGTAGAGTTTGCCTACAATTTTTCTGCTAGTCAGCCAATATGCCAACCCCTTTGAGATTGTGTATGGTTTGAATATTCTTACACCTTTGGTGTTAGTATCAATTCTGACAACTATTGAGCTTAGCATTGATGCCAAGCTTCGAGTCAAGGATATTCAAACCTTACATGAGCAAGCCAGAAAAAAAATTGCTAAGTAGAACACCAAATATTAGAAAGAGGCTAACAAGTCTAGAAAAGCTATGATTTTGAAGGAAGACAACTATGGATCAAACTAAAGGAGCACTTTTCTGCAAGTTAATTTTGAAAGCTTAGCCTAAAGCTGATAACCCATTCAAGATTGTTAATAAGATTATTAATAATGCCTACAAGATTGATCTACCAGGAGACTAACATTTGTGCTAATGTTAATGTCACGGATTTGTCACTGTAAGTTGAGGACCTATTTGTTTTCTGTCACAAAGACAGAGACTCTCTTACCCGTGAAGGGTGTGCATTTTGCATTAATATAAAATCAAAAAGTTATATAAAAAAGCTATAAAAACCACCGAAAAGCAAATAGAAGGCTGCTAAGTAGTAATCCCACAAAAATTCCTATCCCTTTTAACAAAAAATGACAAGGGATGATCATCATGTAAGCTTTTAACAACAAAACTATCCTGTAAAGCAAACTGTACAAAAAAAATTAGTCGTCTCATGGTTGGATCTGAGAATAAATGAAAGCAACACCTGACGAGAATTGGTCAAAAAAGCCAAATATGGATTGCACTTCTTTTGTTGCATCCCAATACCTATGTCCATGAAACGTCGGAGAGCAAAGGCTCTCTTATCCGGGAAGAGTGACACGAAGTTGAAATCTACGATCCGTGGCATGCAGGATTCTCACTATCACGAAATGTCGATTCTGTGGGATTGTTGAAAGTCTCATTATAGCGGGTGTTGAATGAGGGGTTGCCTCTTGGTTCTCATTTTTAGCAGTATTTTTTTCCTTTTATGATTTTTTCCCTATTTCGTTATTTTTAATGAGGATATAACTTGGCTATATATGTTTTGGAGAAGTATTCTATGATTTTCTGCTCTTGGAAGTGTTGTAGTCTCTTCTATTTGTAAGTGATGTGCTTGTAGCTTGTCCAGGAACAGGTGGTAGATCCTCCCTTGACATTTTGTCTTCTGACTATTGTTTTCAATCCAAATAGCCACCGAACTTCCCCTCCCTTTTCAAACGCCGTCGAACTTTCATATCCTCATCCTTTTACTATTTTACAACCATCTCTCCGTTAAATCCACTTCGTAAACACCTTTTAGAAACCCTAGAATGGTGTCTTGGATATCATAAAATTTTATAGTGTATTTATTTACATTTAACCAATACTAAAATATTCAAAACTCTTATATTTCAAGTACATTATATCAATAATATAGGAAACTACATAATCCTTTAGTAGATTCTAAGTATAATAATAATTTATAGGATCGATAATATCATAAATACATGAGAAAGTTAATTTATTTCTTTAGCTCAGTGTAGGTTGAAAGGGTCCCCAGCCTGATGTGGGATGTTAATAAGCTAAATGCATTGAGACCAAACCAAAATGATTGATTGGTTTATGAGTTAAAACACTTCCACATGTCACCACCCATTTAACTAGAGTTCTTTTGGCCTAAGTGTTGGCTTAGTAGAGTTTCTCAGTCATCCTCGTTCTATGATCAGTCTTTTTCCATAGGTTTTGTTTTCAAGAGCAATGAGGACTAACGGAACTACAAAATACAGCACACCCATGATAGTAATTTGAAAACTGTAAATACAACACACCCAAACCAAAATGACAAGCCGAGAAGATGAAATTCACCTAACATAAGCGACAACAATAGAACTGAATTTTTTCAATATATCGTAGGAAATGGTTATAACCAGTGCACAAACTCAACCTCTCATGAATTACTACATATTTTACTGAGAAGTACTTTTGTTGTCTTTCACCTTGTTTTACAGAAGGGCCATGGTATCCCTGGCTCACTTGTCAATGAAGTTAAAGAGGTGACACGGAAATTCTTTGATCTTTCATATGAGGAAAAGGTGAAGATTAAGATGTCACCGAAAACTGGATACAGGTTTGCTTTCTAATATCAGATGCAATTTTGATTGTAAATAGGAAGATATACATACATATCACTTAGTTCTTATGTATTTACCTATCTAATACCTATAATTCAGTTTTTACGTACATGCCAACTTACCTATGCAATAAATGGTGTATTCACCTTTTAAAAGTTATAATTGTCGTATTTTTTTTTGTGATATTGAAAGATTTGGGTGCTATGAATGTAAAATTTAAATTTAGGTGAATATATAAATACATAGGAGTTGGGTGGTATGTATGTAATAGCTCATTGTAAATATTGGTTATGCACATTTTGGAGTCAGCTATTTCATTGAAATCATTAGGGGATACCAGAGGATTGGGGAAAATATAACTCTTGGAAAACCGGATATGCATGAAGCTATTGATGTAAGTACGTGTTCTAGTTGATCTTATATTTGTATAATTAGCTCAAACTTCTTGAAATTTATACATTTTTAGCCTTGCATTTTTATTAATGTGAGTGTCTTATACTAGTTGCACTGTTTTTCTTGTTAGTGCTACAGACCTATGGAATCAGGAGAATATGGATCTTTAGGGAAAACCATGGAGGGACAAAATTTGTGGTATATGAACTACACTTAAATTGTGCTATTAGTTAAAGATTCCATGGATTGTTAGGAAAATGTTTGAATATATTTCAGCCTTTCCTTTAATTGTTGTGTAGGTGAAGCTCTTGAAGGACCATGTTAAGTCATCTTACACTCCTACTTTTCTCTACTATTTCTTACCTCTTTATTTCCTGAATATTTTCTCCATTATTTCAACTTAAATATATACATATACATGCATACATGTATACATATATAGGTGTGGACACCCGCAAGGGCAACTGCATACGATCTGTCCGAAGTCATCCTCAAAGGTAGGTGCGGCCTTCAAAGAAGAAAGCAACCCTGCTCAATGAGGGGAAAAGCTTCGAAAGAAAGAAGAGAGGACGTTGTGAGACTGGACGGGCGCAGAGAAGTTGCAAAAATCACTAGCTTTACCCGCGAGAGGGAGCCGCAAAGCGAGGAAAGACGTGAGACGGGCCGCAAAGCGAAGACGTGAGGAGACGCGTCTCAGAGCCGGAAGCGGGGAAGACGAACTGAAAGGATCGCGCGAAGCCGTAACATCTCAGAGCAGTAGAAGAAGAAGACGAAAGGAATCGAGCGTGAAGACGAGCGAAGCCGTAACTGTTGCTAGTGTTAGCAATCGGGCGAAACCCAAGCAGAGCCGAGCAAGAAGGAAGAAGAAGATGTCATGTTTCAATATATATATATATATATTGAAATCTAACATTCAAGTGAATAAGGATGGGTCTAACCCCACTGCTCTGGACATTTTAGTTTCACCTGGGGAGGATACTACCAGACAGGAGTTGTCTGTTGCCCTTGAGGAGCCCCCCATGACACTGTTGTTACTGTTACTGCGAGTGATGTGATGCTGACACCTTCAGACCCCATAAAAAACAATACTGATGGACTATTACCTACAAATGACAGTATTCAGACTGATAATTAGGAGAACCTCGTAGCTCCACTTCTTCAGAAAGTATCCGATGTAGAGTCAACTCATACTTCACATATAGTAGAACCTATTGTGGGTACTACGGTTGGCATTCCTTCTGCTCAGCTCTACCACCCCATAGACTGATTCTTCGGATGAGGAATGGCAAGTCTATTCCAGGAGGAAGAAGAAGAATAAAGACCGACTCCAGCTCATGAACATATTGGATGATACATTGGTTACTACTGGCAATGACGATCATCTTACCAGCTTATTAGTTTGCTCCTTCCCTAGAACTAGAGGCAAAGGCAAGAAAAATTGGGTCAAAGTGGGTCCCTCTCTAGCCACTTGATACTATGTATTTTGACACTGTTAGACTTCTAATTTAAGTATCTAATGTATTTTTCTGTTTTTTCTAGTTTTGGAACCATTTGTGGTTTTTAAGTGGGCAGGGTGTCATGCTTGGACCCTCCCACACATTATATCTGTATCTTTCTTTCTATTTAATATATTAGCCTTTTTGGGCTTTAAAAAAAAAAAAAAAGATTGTTAGAAGTTATATTAGGAAATATTTTATTCCTGTTAGAAGTTATGAGGATTAAATTTATTTCCTAATATAACATTATTTATTTTGTTATTTCAGACTTATTTTCTTGGATTTGATTTATTTCTTATTTTAGCCTTTTAATTTTATGTTGTTTCATTTATCTCTAAATAATTAATATGAATTGATTAATTTGAGATATTAGGTATTATATTTTTTTTTATGTTATTTATTTTTATTATCTTTTTTTCTAGGATTCATGTAAGGGTTATTTATACTGCTTTTTATATTAATAAAAAAATTTTGCTTTATTTCGCATTATTCTGGATTTCAACATGGTATCAAAGCCTTGAAAAAACCCTAGAGTCTCATATCGGCGGAAACTTTCGAATCCCTGTTGTTGACAATCTTTGTCATGTTGCAGGCCCTTCTTCCGCTGGACTGGCCTGCATCCGACCAACCCTTCCCGATTTCCAACACAGCCACTGGTCTTCCTTGCAAACCTGCTGGCCTTCCCTTTCCCTGCAAGTACAACCGTCGGTCTTCTTTGCCTGTTTTCTGCTCGTCCTTCCAGCTATTTTTTTACGTATGTTTTTTGTAGGAGTCCGATTTCCTAGTTTCTAGCAGCCCAACTTCCCTGGTTATCTATAGGTTCTTACTGCTGGAGGTGCAGCTTCTCGCAGTTTTTTGGCACCTATTCCCTACAACAGTCCGACTTCTTAGTTTCTAGTATTCCAACTTCCCTGATTTTCTGCAGTTGTCCAGATTTCTCGCAGATCCGGCTTCCTAATCTCCAGCGGTCCAACTTCTTGATTTCCAGTCGCCTACAGATCTCCTTCGTTACTTCCGTCAGCCAACATCATGTCTCGAAATCACAATCAAATCTCTTTTGGCTTAGTTGGAAACATGGCAGAGTCCTCTAAGCTGCTTGGATCCAGTTCGCTCTCTTCTTGCTCGCCGACCTCCCACGTTCTTCAAGGATACCTTGGGATCATTGTCGTCACACGGTTAGCCATCTGAATCATTCAAAGCTCTGTTATAACCAAAGGCCAGAGAAGAGCGTTGTCTCCACTCCGTACCCGAGGCCGCAGTCGCATGTTCCTTACTTGCGACCTACACTGTACCTTTCTTTCTCATCCCGATAACAGTTCACCCTGTTCTTGACTGGTCGGTGTACTTGCTTAGCACCACCGCTCTGGCCTCCATTGCGATCAACTCATCTGTTCTCTCGTCGCTCTCGGTCTTACTGCCTTGGCTTGCGATGTTGGGATCTCTAGGGTGATGGCTTATCTGTGGTACTCTGATGATGTCGTGAGGGTGCCTGGGTGGATATATTACTAGGCAGGGGGAGTGTCCAGTGATGGCCTCTGACCAACTTTCTATACAGTCAATACATTAGTTTATTTAGTGCAAGTGTTTCTGTGGCAGTTTATGTGGTTGAAGCTCATTCAAGTCATTATCATCCTGTCCAAGATATTTTTTGCAGGTGCCTCTTTCTTGCTGCGCTTAGTTTTCTTCTTTATAGTGAAAGGTTTTTCCTAATGTTGCAGTGTTTTCCTGTTGAATCAAAAGGAAGATGCAAGAAATTGAATGAAGTTGGATATGCGACAACCATATGCTTTAGTTATTTCTTGATTAGGTGCATCATGAATTTATGATGTGCTTCAATGCATTTGGCGAAACTGTAGACATTGATGCATCAATCTCAGAGCTTTTCCTGCAGCAGATTCTTCCTCTGGAGATTTTAAGAGTACTTCCCTACATCTGACCCTCCCCGAAATCTCCTGCAGCAGAACATTCTCTAGAGCTTTTCTGTTTGCTGCAAGTCATACTCTCCAGTTTTTTCTGTTGGTTTTCTACTTCTTTGCAAACTCCCCTGCAACATTACCTGTAGGAGCCTTCCGCCTACCTACAAATACGGTTGAAACTGCAGTCAAAGACAATCACAATTAACTAGAAGTCAGTTTTTCCTACAAATTATCTACTTCCCTGCAACATTACCTGCAGGAGCCTTCCACCTACCTACAAACATTGTAGGAACTACAACCAAAGACAATCACAGTTGCCTACTTCCTTGCAAACTCCTCTACAACGTTACCTGTGGGAGCCTTCCGCCTATTTATAGACACTGCAAGAATTGCAATCAATGACAACTGTAGTACCGGATGAAGACTTCAAGTTCTACCTCACAGGATCGTCCTCGCCCATTGTTTGATATTTTCAAATCCACGTTGAACATGATTTTCAACCATGTTTCAACTTGAGGGGGAGGTTAGAAGTTATGTAAGGAAATATTTTATTACAGTTAGAAGATATGAGGATTAGATTTATTTCTTAATATAAATTTATTTCTTTTCTTATTTTAGATTTATTTTCTTGGATTAGAATTATTTTCTTTTCTATGTCAGGCTTTCCTATTTTAAGTTGTTTCCTTTATCTCCAAATAATTAATATAAATTGATTTATTAGAGATATTTAGTGTTATATCTTTCCTTTTGTATTTTTTTTTATTGTCTTTCCTATTCTAAGGTTCATGTAAATGTTACTTATACACCTTTTTATATCAATAAAAAAATTCTTATAGTTTTGAAATTAATTTAATATTCAGGTTCATTAGTTACTGGACATATTTGACCATATATATATATATATATATTCAATAAAAGAATGGTCAAAGACTATTATATGAGCCTCAATCATCCCTCATGCACCTAAAAATTTAAGTACCACAACCTACACTCGGGGGGAATCAATATCCGACCAACTGATCTAAGCACACGACGTATGTATATATATATGTATATATTAAAAAAAAAGCCTAAAAAGACTAATATATTAACTAGAAAGAAAGATATAGATACAATGTGTGGGAGGATCCAGCATGACACATTGCCCACACAAAAATCACAAATGGTTACAAAACTAAAAAATACAGAAAAGTACATTAGAGACTTAATGAAAATGCCTAAAAGTGTCGAAACATAGTATTAGGTAGCTAGAGAGCGACCTAATTTGGTCTTGCCTCTGCCACTAGTTCTAGGGAAGGAGCAAACTAATAAGTTGCTAAGATGATTGTCATTGCCAGTAGTAACCAATGTATCATCAAATATATTCCCGAGTTGGAGTCAACCTCCAATTCTTCTTCTTCCTCCCAGAGTAGACTTGTCATTCCTCATCCAAAGATTGACTCACCTGATCTTGGTCTAAAGTGTGCTAGAGATGTGCAGGCTGTTGAACATTAGAAGCAACTACATGTTGTACCGGTGGATCTGTTATTTGATTAAAGGAGCACTCTTGTGTGTCTTGGCATGTAAGTGAGTCTTCTTCAATAACAGTGAGTGGTATAATCACAACTGGGTCTGTAGCTGTATTATGATGTTCTTCGTCAGGAACTGCGGTGTTGGAAAGAGGATCGGGTTGCATCTTCTCAACAGGGATGATAGGTGGCTGATATTTAGCGATATCCGGTCTTAGATGAGGATGCAAACGATAGCAAATACTAGAGCTGTGGCCAAACATACTGTAATCAGAGCAACAAGGAGGGTGTGGTTTTATTTCAACATTTTGCTAATACCCATTGTGAGTGGTTCCAATCCATATCTCATCCGGAGTTGGTTGAGTGATATCCCTGTCAACTAACACACAAGCCACAGAGGGTGTGGTGATAGCAAGTGTAGGACTATCAAACTTGAGAGGCTTACCGTAAGCAGTTGCTAAGGAGTAAAGAATTTCCAAGTTGAACAGATATAATTTTAACCCCCCCCCCCGGAAACTTTATCCAAACTGGAATGATAGGGGACTCTGCTTTTGGATCAAAACCAACAGTTCACTTTGAAATTTTCATGTAACGGTTGTCGATCTTGATAACTTTAAGAGAAAAAATGTGAGTGTAATCAGTATCGTGAGACAACTGAATCAGTATGTTTTGACCATTAAGTAAACCAATATTCCAATTGCCTAACAGCTTCATGATATCAAATTCTTTTCGAATAATCTCAAGTTTTTGGTGATAATAAAGAAATTTTCCCACTAGAGCAAAACACCACGAAGATGTAGAGTACTAGTTTCAACTTCTGTGAGAATAAGAGCAGACTTCTCACTTTTTATTCCCAATTTTCTAATGAAGGTGTGATCACCATCACCTTCAAGAGCCTCGTGAAATGATTATGGAACATTACATGACTTGTCGATATAAAATCAGGCTCTAAACTTAAAAGAGGAGTACGAGTAAGAATAGGAAAGTTGCCGGCAACTGCAGTGGCATAAGAACGCATGGTCGAGGCCATCTGAAGAGATGCTAGGCAAGCAGACCTTCTGTCGGGCAGGGCAACAGAGGCGATGTCGATTTCTGTCGGGCAGGGCGAACGCGTCGTCGAGTACAGAAGACGACGCGAACGTCGTGTGCGGGTGAGGAGGGACGAAGTGCAGGAGCAGGCGGAATGACGAAACGCGAGATTTTTCGTCGTCTAAGCAGACAATCGCAGGGCTTGCGGAATGACGGGAAGACGAAAAATATCGTGGAACCCTTCTTCGTCGGGCACGAGGAACCCGTTGGAGTAAAGCCGAGAGATTCGAAGAAGGGAATTGTCGTGAGGCGTAACCCTCGCCCACACTCGATAAAAAAGTATGTGTATATATATATATATATATATAATGGAATTATATCTTTTGCAGCAATCATTCACCAATGCATATCACTTAGAAAATCCTTTACAATCATCTCAATAGCTAATAAAAAGGATACAGGCTCAATAATAACCTTTTCACAAAAATTAAAATCTCTTTGACAATCCACAAAGTTTAGTAGTATTCATGTTTCATCATGCATAATTCTGATAACTTCAACATATTTTTTTCTTAGTGCACACTAAATCAATTTTTATTCTAATTAATTATATGCTATTTCTAGTTCGAGAAAAAATCCTATTGAGATCCATAGTTTGTTTTTAATTCTTTTTGTTAACAGAAAATTAACCTAAGACCCTATAGTTGATTAAAAAAAATTCTTTCATCCCATCGACTGATTTTTTTTTTCTTAACTTCAAAGTTATAATAGATCTTAGCATTTATGAATCTAATTAATGTTACTTCGAATGTGATTGTTAAAATAATGGTTCTTGTTCATCAAAGTTTGAATATAATAACTGGTAGTATGGAATTAGTTATTTGGATTCTTAGAAGTTCTACTGACTTGATAAGTCTGGTTAATATTGCTTTTGACGTGGTGCAAAAATAACTGATCTTGTTACTCAAAGTTTGATATGTTCACTGGTTGTTTGAATAAATCCATATAGCCAATGACAATGTTTAGACTTTTGAGTAGCCAAATCCGGTATTTCAGCAACCAATTCTAAAGCACAGTAACCAAATTCATAAATATTAGAATTTATTGTCACTTTGAATTTAAATAATTTTTTTAGTCAATAAATAAAAAATAGTTCTTGGCCAATCACAACCTCTTATTGTAGTTTCCCCTTGTAATATTCATCATAACATAAAATTTATTTTATAACGGATTTCTTGAAATGTAATCAAATTGATTGAGTCTAAGATTATCTCTCTCTCTCTTTCTCTCTCTCTTTCTTGCTCTGTTATTTTCATTATATAACTTTATTACAATTTTCGTTGTTTGGTTTAGAACTAACCATAAATATTATGTGAAATCTAATGAAATAAATTCATTTTGATATCTAATATTGAGATTCTTCTATTTTTTTTTTTTATTCATAGAAATCATATCTCCTTTAGATGTGGAAGTAGCTCAATTTCCCATTCAATAATTTAAGGTTTATTAATTAACTAGTGAACTCTCTAATTGACTGAAACTTCGTTTAACCAACTACAGAAAGCTATTATAAGATCATGATATTCTTCATTCAAAGCACTAAGCAAAGCTCATTTTTTTTCTCATTTAGAACTGGATCTCATCAAACAACATGCTTGTTTAGAGAAAAAGCTAACAGCATGTTATCATTCTTCATTGGTGCAAATTCATCTTTCAAAACTTTATGTACTCTTTTTTGGTCTGATTTGAAGAGCTATGAATAGATTTGATAACTTTTTGGGTTCCTAATCTTCTGAATCTGTATGAGGTGTTTCCCAGTGAGCTTGAGAGTAAAACATAGCTTACCAGCTCAATCCACCACTTCGTTCTTGCTTTTTTATTATTTTGATATTTTTCTAATGTGGTAGTTTCGACATCATCGACAGCTTCCCTGGATTTTAGGGAAATTTACATACCAGCATACAATTCTTATGCATTTACATGTCTCCCACCTAAATTTGTCTCCCACCTAAAGTTTCATATTTACTTACATAGCACTCCGGTGCTTTAAACCTATGCATCAAAAAGGTGTATTTCACTTTTAAAAAGTGTTAATATTGCTATTTTTTATGTGATAATGAAGATTTGAGTGCTGTGTGTAAAATGAAAGGTTAGGAGTGAGATATGTAAATACATAACGTTTGTGTGCTCATGTAAATGCCACTAGATTTTATAAAATTTTGAAGCTAGTAGAATAACTTTAGCTTTTCTCTTTTTTATTTTTGCGTCAGGCCTGAAAGTCCTTCAAACTTCAAGTCACTGATGGAAGAGTACATCGGCCGTCTCAAAGGTTTGGCCATTTTTGAAATTTCAAATTTATAGCCGGAACTAAAACATTTTATCTTACCTACAGAGCTTGCAAGGAAAATAATGCAGGGAATTGCATTAGCATTAGGTGGACCTCCCGAAACATTCGAAGGTGAAAGGGCTGGCAACTCATTTTGGGTAATGCGGATCATCGGATACCCAGGTTTAATAGGCGATATGCAATATAATGATGTTGGATGGTAATTAATATTTGAGTTATGTTAGTTGCTGCTGTAATTTTTTTTCTACACTACTTTTTGTTAAACTGCACCTTACATTAACATTATTTGCTTTCTTTTGTTCTCTTCTTGCTTCGCCTTCAAATGTTCTTATAACACAGTGAAGCTCACACAGACTATGGTAAGCTTCTTGCCGGTAACTCAAGAAAGTTTTTCAAGAAAATGGTTACATGAACACCTCAGTCTTCCTGATACACATATTCACGAAGATTCTCCATTCTTATGTTAAAAATTATGCTAGTTCTTTTTGGAATTTACAGACATATCACTGAATTCCTATGTATTTACATATCTATAACACCTAAATTCAATTTTTACATACATGCCACCTTTCCTATGCATTAAAAGGTGTATTTTTGATGTGATATGAAAGATATGGATAGTATAAATATATAAAGTATTGTTTACATGCTAGATAAGTAAATACATAAGAATTGAGTAGTATGTATGTAAATGCTCCTTTCTTTTTTGGCGGGTGAGAAAACATAGCTGTGATTAAACATTGCAGGTCTTCTAACATTAGTTAACCAGGATGATGATATTCATGCACTTCAGGTATGGCGTTGATTCTGGAAATGATTATAATCGTTGGTAGAAAAGAGTTTAATTTGCTCTTTATCTTTACTAGTTTTGATTTAGGAAAAAAAATATATTAGGATATTAACTAAAATTTTGATCAGATGGGTCTCAAAACCTTTGGATCAACTCTGAAATGGGTGCATTTCATAGACATTATACTATTTTTTTAGATCCATCTTGATTGATACAATTTTTTAGTTTTGGTTTAGTTATTTATTTATTTTATGTCGAATGTCGATTTTATCTTTATTTATTTATTTATTTATTTATTATTATTATTATTATTATTATTATTATTATTATTATTATTTTGCTTTTCTTTTCCAATATGGCTAATGTTTACTTGATGCTTTATTAAAATGCTCAACGTTCTATTTTTGTATTTCCTTATGAAAGTTAAGAGGGATATTGCTGCAATGAGTGTCTATTCCTTCTTTTGTTGCTTGCATGAACAGTTGTTACCTATTAAAAGAAAATTGGAAGCTGGAAGGGGGTTTGAGAGAAATAATCTGAATCAAATAGTGTTGGAGTAGAGTCAACCAAAGAGAATATATAACTTTTTGACCTCTCATAACAGTATAAATACTTTAATTGCTTGGCTTTGATCAGTAAATGTGTTTCCAAAATTTTATTTCTTGTTGGATGATGAGGTTGCAGGTTAAGAACGGAACGGGTGATTGGATATGTGCAGTTCCAGTTCCTGGAACCTTTGTCTGCAATATAGGCGATATGCTCAAGGTATAGCTCTTGAGTGCAGAATCTCAAAATTTATGTTTTAAAATGGCAGATATTTACTGGTATTCTATTCCGAACATTATGTATTTAGATATTTCTCAATCTCAAGCAGATGGGTGTGCGTCTTACTTTAACCTAATGATCAGTTTAGGTTCCCCAGCTAACTAACACATTAGTGTTTATTTTTAATGGCATTTACATACATGGCATATTGTATTTACATTTCTCACACCTAAACTTTCATATTTACACACATTGCGCTCAAATCTTTAGTATCACATAAAAAATAACACTATTTCCACCTTTTAAAAGTGGTATACACCTTTTCATGCGTAGGCTTAAAGCACCAAAATGTTATGTATATAAACATAAAAGTTGTGGTGTGAGATATGTATATACATAAAGACTTATGTGATGTGAAACTTGCTATTTCATTCCATATATGTGTTTAAATAGGTGTTACAATATTTCACAAATAAACCCAATAAAACCCTCTAATTACATAACCTAATAAAACCCTCTAATTACACATAACCCAACACTCCTCCTCAAGATGGGCAAAAAATATTCACTAAATCCATTTTGTCACATAATCTAGTTAAATTCACTGAACTAAGTCCTTTGGTGAGGCAGTCGGCCACCTGCTCTCCAGTAGCTACATGACAAAGTTCCAGCAATTCGTTATTCAGGTTCTCCTTGATGAAGAATCTATCAATCTTCACATGTTTAGTTCTTTTGTGTTGCACCGGGTTTTTAGCAACGTTGATTGCTAACTTAAGACACCACAACTTCATTTGAGTTCCTTGATCCATTTTGACTTCAACCAACTAGGCCTTCAACCATATCATCTCAGCAAATCCTAATGCAAGGCCCTATATTCTATCTTTGTTGTTGATCTTACTACAACTGACTGCTTCTTGCTCTTCCACGAGACCAAGTTACTACCTACAAACATGCAATATTCTGATGTGGATCGACTGTCATCAGCACAACTTGCTCAATCAATATAACAAAAGCCCTCAATATTTACATGCTCATTCTTCCTGATTATCAACCATTTCTCTGAAGCATTCTTCAGATATCTCAGAATCTAATACACTCCATCCATATGACTTTTTCTTGGATCATGCAGTTAGCAGCTCATCGCACTTACTGCAAAAGAGAAATCAGTTCGAGTGTGGCATAGATAGATCAGGTGGTCCACTAGCCTCTAATCCTCTCACGGTCAATTGATTTACCTGCCTTTGTACTGAGCTTGACCTTCTAATCAATTGAAGAGACTGCAATTTTGCACCCTTGCATACCTTTCTTCGTGAGAAGATCTAGTATATACTTTCTCTGGGATAGGATCATCCCTTAGATCCGTAGGACACTTCAATCCCAAGAAAGTGTCTGAGTTGGGCCAGATCTTTTAACTCAAATTGCTTCTTGAATCTTCCCTTCAGTTGAGCAATATCTGTCTCATCATCATCAGTCATAATTATGTCATCCATATATACAACAAGTATAGTAGTGTGACATTCATGTTGTCGAAAGAGCTCCATCTGGTTTGCATTGATCTGTTGATATCTCATGCCATCATCATTCTAAACTCGTGGAATCAAGCTAGGGGAGACTGCTTCAAGTCATACAGAGACTTCTTGAGCCACACACTTTGCCCACTGTCTGGGAAATACTGAATCCTGGTGGTATCTCCATATATACCTCCTCCAATACCTCTCCTTGAAGAAAACTATTCCTTACATCCAGTTGGAGTCTTCATCCACCATTCACTGTCATAGAAGCCAGTCCTATTCGTGCTCATCTTTGCAACTGGTGCAAATGTTTCATCGTAGTAAATGTCATACATGTAACTATACCCTTTTGTAACTAGTTGTGTTTTGTACCTCTCCACCTTCCCTTCTGGAGTTTGCTTTAATGTGAAGATCAAATTGCATCTAACTGCCTTCTTCTCTGCTGTTAGTGGTGCAATCTCCCATGTCGGTTTTTGTCAAGAGCTCCAAGCTCTTCATGCATCGCCGCTTTCCACTTGAGATCCTCTTTAGTAACCTGCCAACACTTTGATATAGAGACAGAGTTCAATGATGCAATGAATGCTCCATGTAAAAATGAGATGTTAGAATAAGAAATAAAGTTTGCATTGTCAAGTTCCCACCCAAAACAAGCAAGAGAATGTCCCGCATTGCTGGTGTAGGTGTCTCAAGAGTTGGGGAAGACCTAGACAAGTGACTTGTTGGCACTGTAGACTCTATTCTTTATGTTTACCTTTTCCTCTATATATACACATTTAGTTTACCTTCAACCTGAATCCCACCACCTCTAGGTTCAACCTCCTTGATTTTTGTCTCCATAGTTGATTCATCTCACATCACAGGACATGACATTGATCTCACTTGCACCACTCCTTCACTATTATTACTCATTCTCTCTTGCCTTATATCTCAAGTGTCTATTTAGTCACCGAAAGATGAATTCACCTCCAAAGTAAAGTATGGTTTAAATTCTTTAAATGACACATTCATACTCACAAAGATTTTCTTCTCAACTGAGCTCCAGTAAACATAACCCTTTTGAGTGGCAGAATAGCACACATACATACTTTTCACAGCTCTGAGATCCAATTTCCCTATAGATGGTTTGTTGTTTTTCACAAAACATGCACATCCAAATTTCTTCAATGGAAGGATCCCGCTATTGTCTTATTTCAACATATGACAAGAGGAATTTCACTCCAGCACTCTTAAGGGCATCCTGTTAATCAATGAGCGGTTGTCAATATTGGTTGCCCTCATAAATATTAATGAACATTCATTGTCATCATCATGTTCTGAACTACCTCTAAAAGATACTGATTCTTCCTCTAGGCTACTCTATTATGTGCTGGTGTGTTTGGCGTTGTATCCCTTGAGATGACAAGTAGTCCCCAAATGTTTTGTTGATATATTCTGTCTCATTATCAGATCTCGATGCATTCACAACCGCCCCATATTGGGTCCCGATTGCCTTATTTTAAAGCACACAATTACCTCACTCTTCTGTTTCATCAAGTATATACAGATAACATAAGAAAAACAATCAATAAACATAACAAAATAACGATAATTATACATAGAACTAGTAGAACAACGCCCTCATACATAAGAATGTATCAAATCAAACACACAAAAGTTTTTATTCCCATAACTGACATAAGAGTTCCTAGTGAGCTTGTCAAACACACAAGCATCACACACTAGTTTCAACTTATTTGTCTTTCATACAAAGATGGATTCAAATGATTCAATTGACTGAACGAGGAGTGCCCAATGCGCCTGTGATGTAGCAGCAATACAGCCTCCACACTCCTCTTAGATTTTCTCGCTCCAACATTCTCAACTATGGATGCCAAAGCTGAGTTTGTCCCCTCTCTATCTAATTACCAGAGTTCACTATGTCACGTGTCAATCTCAAGTTTTCAGTCAATCCCCTTCTCTTGAAAGATCACATTTGGAATATCAAATGAAACTATACATTTTAGTTGGAGTATAATGACACTAATTGATAAAATGTTCACTGGAAAAGAAGAAACATGCAAAACATTAGATAAAGTCATATAATTGGGACTGTACTCTTACCAACCACAGGTTGTGTTGTACCATTAGCAATCTGACTGCTTTCTAGTACTGTTAAATGAGTATAGGACGAGAACTCACTAGTGATATCTGTCACATGTCAAGATGCACACCAAAATCTACAATTCATTCTAGTGAAATTGTGGTAGATATAGAGGCAAAAGCATGTGTATGAAAAGCACCTTTGGCTCAATGAGCATCACTACCAGTGTTTCCCCTGGATGACGATAAGCTGGATGAATCCCCAGTGACATCACCTGTCCTCTTTGGTTTCTCTTCACATCTCTAGTAACTCATGATCCTCATCAGTAAAAACCACCTGTCTCTCCCTCATTCTCCACTATCATCAGACTTGCCTGTAGCCTCGTCTTTTACCTATTTGGCCCCACAATTACAATCACGTCCTCTAGACTATCCACGTCCACCCATCTTGCTTAGGTGTCCCACTTGTCTGCAGTTATAGTACTTGTTGGTCTCCCCCTGAGCACTTATCCTACTTGAGCTCCAGGCAGCCAAAGTTGATCGCATTCCTAAAAGTTCACTCGGTTGAGCCGAAAGAGGTGTTGAAGTATTTGCTCCCGTCGAGACACTAATTCTCTGTATGAGCCCGACAAGACCTTCAGAACTTCAGGATTCATCTCCCCAGTAGTTCTAATACTTTTTCTCCCATAATATCTTCGTCACATGACATTCTCAATCACAAGTAACCAAATTTAGGTCACACAAAGAAAGAGCAAGGCAGCAACAAAAGTCTCTCAATAGAAGCTCTCTCGCTCGGACAAGGAAAAAATGATCTGGATACAAGCTTTGAAACCTTCCTAGCTTCGATCTGACACCCTCGCATGACAGAGGAATTCTGCAATTCCTAATTCTCGCTGTTGCCTCTCCTGTTCACGCGAACTAAACACACAAGCTTTCCCGTCACGCTCCACCACCTCTCTTCACAAAATCAATGCTTGAAACACCTTCCTTGCACAGTGCCGCATTGCCACTCTTTTTCTACATCGTCTATCTCGCGCACGACAAAGAAATTCCGAAACTCTTAGCCCGCACAGTCCCAAAAAACGAAGGCATTACTCCGCTTCTTTCTCCTCAGATCAAAGACGCATTACTGCCATTACCCTTCACTTCGTCTCCGCTGCATCGAGCCACATTCTCCTTCACGCTCGAATAGAGGCCCCGTCTCCCTGCTTGCACTGGTAAGTTGTTGGAGACTCGCAACTCTGTTCGAAACTACAGTGACTGAACCTCCTGTCTTTCTTGGAACTACATTGAACAAAGCTCTCCTAGCGAGGGAAGCGAAGACAAGTCGCAGCGCACGAGAGCCGCCAAAGCTCCCGTCCTTGTCTTCCGCTCTCTTCTTCCACCTCGTGATCGAAGTTCATGCCGCTCTATCTAGCGATTCTTCGCTGCTCACGCGACCGGGGTACGTTTAGCTCATAAAGAATTATTTGATGTCAAAACTTCTATTTCATTCAACATTTGTTCAAATAGGTGTTACAATGTTTAACAAATAAACCCAATAAAACCCTCTAATACACAACCCAATAAAATCCTCCTATTATACATAACCACAACAATACATAAGAGTTGTCTGCTACTTGCGTAAATTCTCTTTATTTTTATTAGGCTAACCCAATTAGTTCAGTAGTCGTTCCCATTTCGGTTAAATCATGCATGGTTCCTTGATTTAAAGTTAACTAACAATGTGGTGTAAAGTTAGATGGCAAGTTCTGGGAATATGTTCTTAAAATATTGAAGATTTTAGTGTTTAGGTTGGTAATACTTTTTGAAAATAAATAAACTTGATTTATTTGTGCTTGTAATCTCCAGATTATTTTTTGAACTTAGTGGAAGCCTAAAATTTAGCAGTCATTCATATTTATGGTAAATGGGAGATTTTAATTAATTCTGCATTTATTATTTTATCTACAGCTCCCTACAACAAATAGAGACTTCTCCAATTTGAAATTAATACAAAGCCTATTCCTTCTAATATTTTGTCCACCTTATTTTTCCAACAATATTTACTGTTCTGATTGATATTTTAGCAATGATCTCTCTAATAATTATCATGAAATGTGCACTGCCTAAACTTAGATGACTATCAATTATATTTAGGTTTGGTCTAATGGATTATACCAGCCAACTCTTCACAGAGTAGTTAACAACTCTCCGAAGTATCGGGTCTCAGTTGCATTTTTCTATGAGGTTTTTCTTTCCCTCTCCATTTATCCTCATGGTCGCACATTCTAATTGATTTTCATTCTGCTTGGACAGCCAAATTTTGATACGGCTGCTGAACCTTTGGATTTTTGCTTAGAAAAAACCAGCGGAATTGTGAAATACCAAAGAGTTGTTTATGGAGAGCATTTGGTTAGTAAGGTTACCACCAACTTTTCTTCTTAGATTTAGTTCTGTTATTGCTGCTCATTTCAATGTAAATCTTAAAAAAATAAGAAGGTTCTTTCAGTTCATCTAAAAGCAAGCTGTTTATATTTAAATGCTTAAAGTTTGAAAACATTCTTGTTTATAATTCAAGTTTTCATTATGTTATTGTAATTAGTTAGTTAAAATTGTTTGTTTAGTTGTAGTTAAGTTGCTTGATATGACATTGTAGTCTATAAATCTCTGTTGGGGAGAATGAGAATGATGAGGCGGAAATTGAATGAATGTGTTTTCCTTCTTCTATGCTGCTCTCTTTTTTATTTGTTTTTGAAGTGTAAAACAACTCAAAATGTTCAGTTATCATCAATGGTGCCTTTGCTAAATAGTCCTTGATCATAAATGCTGCTAACAACTACCAATCATCACCATTGCCTATTCAAGATTGCTTAAGATTAGCATAGTCAATATTGTGTCCGGAGTCCGTACGCAAGCTGCGTCTAGGGCTGTCAAAAAAGCTCATTGTTCGCGAACAATTCGTGTTCGGTTCGTCAATGAGTTCGTGTTCAATTCGTTCGATAAGTAAACGAGACGAACGCGAACAAATTTTTTTCGTTCGGTTTGTTAAACGAACCAAACACGAACAGTGATGCGTTCGTTCGTGTTCGAATTGTTATTGTTTGAAATATAAAATAATAT